AGCGCCTCGCTCGACGCATCCTCACAGTGTGCTCTGGAAGCGGAGAAATCTGGGCCACCAAACGGGCAAACCGCCCGAGACGCCTCGACCAGCCAGCCGCCCGAGACATCTCGACCATCTGGGCGCAGCCGGGGGCGTGCAAGACCACAAGTGGCTGCTCCCCCTCGGGGTGCCGAAGCAGGCGCTCGCTCGAGGAAGACGCACAAGTTGAGCGTGAACGGGCCCGAGCGTGAGTGGGTTACGCGAATGAGTCTGAGTGCGTGTGAGCCTGAGTGTGAGTGACTCTAAGGTGTTTACGAGACTGAGTGTGACGAGTGGGTCTGAGTGTGGGTGTAGCTGAGTCTGCGTGCATCTGAGCATGGGCGTATCTGAGCATGGGTGAGCCTTAGTGTCGAGGCAGAGCACGAATGAGCCCGAGCGCGAGACTGGGCGCGAGAAGTCTGAGCATGAGGGGGACGGAGGCGGGAAGGAGGCAGAGGCATGACACTGACAACAAGAGCCTCGCACCTTGGATGCGAGGAAACATCCCAGACGTGCGACGCCCCGATGCTTTTCAACGAGCGGGCCGCACAGCTCACGACCCCTGCCCTATGGGGCCAGTTCTCTCTTTCCTGAGTCCTGCCTTGACCGTCCTGGGGCCCCGGCGAGGGCTCCGAGGTGCTGCGGGCGGCGCAACACCTCCCGCCCTGACTCTGCCCACGCCGCGGGCCTGCCCCGAGCGCCTCGGCAGCCAGCGCCACGGGGCGGGCACGACGCGGGAGCGATGGGCGCACGCCCAGCCGACGCAGGGAGCGGGCACGCAGCGGGGGGGGGGCGGGCGGGCAGCCGCCGAGCCGCGCGGCGTGAGCTGCGCGTGCCGTGCGTGCGGGGTGCGTGGCGCCAGGCTGTGCTCCGTGGCGGAAGCCGCGGCGGTGCTCAGGCGACGCGCGGCGCGGGCCGGGAGGCGATAGAGCGCCGAGGCGCCCGCGGGGCGATGACGACGTGCGCCCGTGGGCGGGCGCCCGGAGACGCCTCCCCGCGCGCCCACGCGAGGCGCACCCGAGGCGCGCGCGCGCGGAAGGCGCGCGCGAGGCGCGCGCGAGCAGGGCACGGGGCGAGGCCTCGGCACGCCCCCCCCCCCCACGGCACCCACACGTGCGCGGCGCACGGGAGCCGCCGGGCAGGCGAGGAGCCGCCCCCGGCCGCCGCCCGGGAGGCACCGCGGACGGCCCTGGAGGCCCTCGGGGCCCGGGTCGCTCGGAGGCCCCAGGGGGCGATCTCTCGGCACGGTCGCTGCGCTCTCGCCCTCCCGGGCCTTCTAGGCGCGTGCGTCCCACGACGGCCCAAGAGGCCTCCAGGGTCGCTCGAAGACCGCCCCCGAGGTTCCCGAGAGGGGCAGAAGAGGGGCCGACAAGGCGCGCCACCGCAAGGCCGCTGGAAGCCTCCCATCCAGGACGTGCGCATGACACCCAAACCCCGAGACATGTTTTGCCATCCGCAGAGCGCCCTGCGGCATGCAGAAGAAAGAGGAGGAGGAGGAGGAGGAGGAGGAGGAGGAGGAGGAGGAGGAGGAGGAGGAGGAGGAGGAGCAGGAGGAGCAGGAGGAGGAGGAAGAGGAGGAAAATCGGGAGGCCAGTGCAAATCCAAGACTCATCATGTTGCAATAAACCCTCCCTCCAAGTACCCTCTCCACAGGCCCCTACAACAGTTCATTTTCACTGAGGGAAATGCCCGGTTGGAAGACAACCGTCTGAAAATCCTGAACTGTACCAGAACACTATTCCTGGAGCATCAACGCCGCGAATCAACCTCACTGTTGCGTCTTGACGATCCTGAACCGTGACCGAACACCATTCCTGGGACTCCAACGCCGCAAATCAACGTAGCGGTTGCGCCCTGACAGTCCTAGATCTTGTCAAAACGAAATTTCTGGGACGTTAACCATGAGAATCCTTTAAACGGCTGTAAGCATTTAGGACACATGTGCGCGGCGCTAAATCAAAAACCACACTTTGGAAAGGTATCGCCCTGCATCCGTGAAACTCTTGCACATGTTTGAAACGAGTGTGCGCGGCGCGGCGGCGAGAACCACATCTTGAAAACGCCCCTTCCTTCATCCGTGAAGCTCCTGCAAACATTTTCGAACGAATGTGCAGAGGCGATAGGCAAATGTTGATAACGACCTAGCCTCCACCCGTGAAGCCCTTGCACATGGTCGGCTTTAAGATCACGAGTGGCGAGGCAGTCTCGAGCCAAACGCCCGGCCCACCCTACCAGCACGTCTCGAGGTGCGACAGGGCGGCACTACTTATGAGGGAAATGGATGGGGGAGGAGGACAAAGAGGAGGAGGAGGAGACAGAGGAGGAGCAGGATGAAGAGGAAGACGAGAAGAACGAGCAGGAGGATGAGGAGAAAAACGCAACAGCAGGAGGAGGAAGGAGGGAGGGAGAAGACGAAAAAGAAGAAGAGAGAGAAAGGCAGGAGGCAGAGGGGGGAGGAAGACCCCCAGCCCCCGCGACACCCCCAACCCCTTCGGCCTCTCTCGCACATCGCAGCTGGGCCGCAACACCCAACCGCCGTCTCCGGGGGCAAGATCGCCTCCAAGCTGGCCAGAGGCTGGCCAAGTCGGCCTCCAAGTCTGCCAAGAGCGTCGCAAACAGAGCCTCGAGACAGTCCACGGCGGTCCCTGGACGGCCCGAGAGGGCTCCGAGATAGAGTCAAGCCGCCCCCCGAGGCCCCTGCGTCGCCCCAAGAGGACTCACAGAGGATCCCCAGGAGGGCCCCGGGATGTAAGCACCACCGTCTGCCCCGAGGAGTCGGAAGCTCTGCTCGCGCCGCAGCCCTCGTGCCCGAGCCTCTGGCAGCCCAGGACGGCCCCGGAGATCCCCGGCACGGCTGACAAGCAACCAGTTTGCACCGCCTGGGCGGCACGTCAACGGATGATACGACCCCCCCGCCCCCCGACCCAGACCCCCGACGTCATGATTTTTTCATGACGCGGCCCCCAGAGGTCTCGACCCCTTCCCCGGGACCGGTTTTTCGTTCTGAGTCGTTTTCTGACGGTCCCGAGGCCCGGGAAGGGCCCCCGGAGGCCGAAAATAGCGAAAAACCTCCCGTGGTGATTTTTTCACGACGCGAGGGGGTCTGGAGACCCTTACCATCGAGAGCGGACGCGCCCGCTGCAATGGGAGGCACGTTTGTGTTCGTCGAAAGGGCCCCCCAGCCGTGCCACCCCGGGAGGGGCCGCGGGGAGGCCCCCGAGGCGCTCCCGGAGAGGCGCCCGAGGCCGCCCCCGAGGGCGCCAGACGGCCCAGGCCGCGCCCCTCGACGGCGCCCGGTTTCGGCTTCGGCCTCAGGGGCGTTTGGGCAGCCGCGTCTGATCAGAGCGCACACGAAGCACAGAGCCACGAACTAGACACTCTTCGCTAACACACACACACACATTCCAATGCAACGGAGGGGGGACGAGGCCAGCGAGCGAGAGAGAGAAGAGGAGCGGGAGGAGGGAAGGAGCAGCGAAGATGGCCCAGGCGGGCCCCAGGAGGCCGCCAAGGAAGCCCGCGAGGCCGAACCCAGACCCCCTCTCGCGCTGTGAAACAAACCACGGCGGGAGGTTTCTCGATGTTTTCGGCCTCTGGGGGCCCCCACCGGGCCTATAGAGACCATCGAAAAACGACTCAAGATGAAACACTGGTCCCAGGGAAGGGGTCCAGACCTCTGGGGGTCGACGTTGCGAAAAGATCACGACGTCGGGGGTCTGGGAGAAGAACCTAAGGCAGCCCCATGACGACCCCTGAGAGACCCTCCCCAGTGTTCCCCCAATGATTTCCACAATGGATGCGGGGATCACGCAGTTCATCAGCGAGGCCGCACTTTCCCTCGACGTTTCACATCAAGGCCGCTTCCAAAAGGCAGGTGGCGGCGGTGACTTGCCGTAAGCGTCTTCGATACAGCATTAAAGGGTGTGGCCCAAGTGCGACAACGAGAAAGAACACTGAGAAAGCTGCGACACTTCGGCCCTGCGCGACCAAGAACGATTTGCAAGTCTCCTGCAGGACCATGGCAGGAAACGAATAGAAGTAGACTTTGAGATAAGGTGCAGCTAACACTACCACGTCCTCTGGCTGCCCCATCGCACGCAAGATGAACTCAGACCTCTGCCACAATGCGAATGTCGGGATGCATAGTGCAATCGATAAAAAAGTGCACCTCTGTGCCACCAATCCTACTTCCGCCATGTCACCTGCACCGAAAGCATGCGCTGCCAGAGTATCCATCGCAGTGAACATCCCCATGAGAATTGAACGGAGGGTCATGTTTCCAGCCAGGGTGCCAAGGGAAACGGCAGCCATCTGCGTCGGGCCGAGCAAGCGTCCAACAAACACCGCGTTCCAGAAGCCTAAGATAAACAGCGCGATCTGAAGTTCGGCGGCGAGCCCGGGGGGGAGGTGAGAAGGTGCGGGCCTTCTCAGAAGGCTCGGAAGTCCCCCGGCCTTCTGAAAAGTGTTCTAAGCTTATGATGTTCCAACCTACTTCAGCCTTGATCACCAGAAAGCATTTCGAGCACCAACATAGTACCGAAACTCGAGGGCTCTCGCGTGGCGGGTCCCGGGAGACACTCGCCCGACACCGCTTCGACGCTCTTTGGACACTTTCCTGGGCGATCGAGACTATTTCTGTGACGTGGCCCTCACGTACGATGGGAACAGCACAATTCGAAGCCTTCCCCGAAGACATAGCCTTCGGAGAAGGCCTCCTCCTTCTCTCGGGGATGGACAGACCTCCCTTTAGTAAAACGTGGTTTAGTGAAAACGACCTCGGGCCCAAACCTGGCGGGCGCAAGCCTGGAAAATAACGGCCGCGGCGCCCTTTCGAGAACCGAAAACGGACAATTCACTAATCGACGTGTCACTGTTAGGAGGTCTGTCCACCCCCGATTCTCGCTCCCCCCCCTCGCTCGCCGCCGAGAAGTGCCATCATCGGCAGGGCCCGGACGCCCAGGCTGGCGCACTCGGCGACGATGTCCAGCGGCTGGTCCGCGCCCCGCTCCGCTGCCGACATGCTGGAGGGGGAGGGAGGAGGAAGGAGTGAGGAGCAGGAGGAGGAGGAGGAGGAGGAGGAGGAGGAGGAGGAGGAGGGGAGGAGGAGGAGGAGGAGATGAGGAGGGAGGAGGAAGGAGTGAGTGAGGAGCAGTAGTACTACTTATTTGGAGCGGAGGAGGAGGCATGAGGAGTAGGAGGAAGGAGGCGGCGGCGGGGTAGGGACGTGGCGGAGTCTGAGGATGAGTCGGAGGATTTGCATGAGCAGGTACGGAGGAGGCGGCGGCGGCGGAGGAGGAGGCAAAGGGGGGGGGGAGGTAGGATGATGCGTAAGGAGGAGGAGTATGAAGGAGAGAGTGGATGAGGAGCAGAGAGAATGAGATGGATGTGCGTATAGGCGTCATTAGGAGAGGAAATGGGAAGGAGCGTTAGGAGTGAGGCGTGCGGCGTCGGCAGTACGTAGGAGAGTAGGAGGAAGGGGAGGAGGGATAGGGGCGTAGGAGGTAGGCGGAGGAGGGTAAGGTGAGGAGGATGGAGGGACAGGAGGATTAGGAGGATAGCATTAGGATGAGGAGGGAGAATGAGGTAGGAGGCGGAGTAGGGGCGTTTTTCCAGGGAGAAGGAGGAGGAGGAGGAGGAGGAGGAGGAGGAGGAGGAGGAGGAGGAGGAGGAGGAGGAGGAGGAGGAGGAGGAGGAGTGAGGAGGAGGAGGGCCGCACTCCCCGGGGGCGGCGGCCAGAGCGTGCGCCGCGTGCCTGGTCCAGAGAGGACGCCGGATTATTTGGAGGCCGTCGGGGGGTCTGCGCTGGCTATGGGTCGGGCCTGTCCCCCTCTACGTGCGGAGTGTGGAGGAAAAATCAAAAAGAAAAAACAAAAAAAAAAAAAAAAAAAAAAAAAAAAAAAAAAAAAAAAAAAAAAAAAAAAAAAAAAAAAAAAACAAAAAAATCAAAAAGTGCCAAAACAACATAGGTGTGTAAAATGTTCCGAACTACCACGAAATAGTCCCCAAACCACTTGTTGATTGTCTTTGTCAAACAACGACTCCAGACTAAAACTCGCCGATAAACCATCGAAAACTCGTCCCCAAACCATGTTTTGACTCTTTTTGAGCAGGGACCGACCGTCCCGGCATTCCTAGTCCTACCACGAAGTGTTCTTTTAGAACCCAAAAATGTTCTGATAACAACAACAATGTTCTCAGAACACAAGCCCGACCTGGTAAAATGGGGCAGTCCCAACCAGAACTGTTCTGAGAACACTTCGTGGGAGCCACTAAAGGCTCTCAGAACACTGCCTGGTAGGGCTCTATAGGTACGCCAGGACGCTTCGCCACTGCTCGATACTTCCCAGACCCCCGACGTCATGATTTTTTCATGACGCGACCCCCAGAGGTCCCGACCCATTCCCCGGGACCGGTTTTTCGTCCTGAGTCGTTTTTTGACGGTCCCGAGGCCCGCCGAGGGCCCCCGGAGGCCGAAAATGGCGAAAAACCTCCCGTCGTGATTTTTTCACGACGCGAGGAGGTCTGGGACTGCTCGATACTTTGGGCCGCTCCTCCTGCAGAGAGCCACGCCCGACCGCACGCCGCCGGCTCCTATGGAGGCGGCCGGGGGCTCCGCGCCGGCGGATGGCCCCGAGGAGAGCTCCCGCGGCGGGGGCCGGCCCGCACAGCGCCCTGCGAGCACATGGAGGCGCTCCCGAGAGGCCCTCGCCCTTCGTGGGCCCTGGCAACCCAGACCTCCTCGCGTCGTGAAAACGGGCAACGACAGGAGGTTTTTCGCCATTTTCGGCCTCCGGGGCAACGACGGGAGGTTTTTCGCCATTTTCGGCCTCCGGGGGCCCTCACCGGGCCTCGGGACCGTCAAAAAACGACTCAGGACGAAAAACCGGTCCCGGGGAAGGGGTCCAGACTTCTGGGGGTCGACGTCGTGAAAAATTCATGACGTCGGGGGTCTGGGAACGGCCCAGACCCCCTCGCGCTGTGAGAAACAAAATCACGACGGGAGGTCTCTCGCGGTTTTCGGCCCCCCGGGGGGGCCCTCGCCGGGCCTCGGGGCCCTCCGAAGACGGCTCAGGACGACAAACCGGTGGGGGCCGCGTCGTGACCAAAAATCACGACGTCGGGGGTCTGGGGACAGGGCCGTTTTTGTTACCGGCTCCGTTTTGCCGTCTTGTGTTGCCGGTTCCCACGCCGTTTTTTTGCCGGTGAACCGTCGCCGTTTTTGGACCAGTTCCGGCTCCGGCTCCAATCTCCTGGAGCCGTTTCTTGCCGTTTCCGGTCGCCGTTTTTTTTTCGTTTTCATTTTCAAGGGACATTTTTGGGGAAACGGTGAAAAAACGGCCCTGCCGTTTCTGGGGCCCACAGAGGCCGCGCCTTCGAGGATCGAAGGAGTTGCCTTAAGTCGGGCCTGTCCCTCTAAGGGAGGAATTCCCAAAAATGGTTCAAAACAAATCGTCTGGGGACGACGTTTCGGCGGTTGTGACTATATTCGGGGTGCTTTCTGACTGTTTTTTCTTTGTCGCCCAAAATCCGCCTGTGGGGGGACATGCCCGACCTAAGAGTTGCCGTCTATTCCTCGGCGGAAGGCGGCGGAAGGTCGGCGGAAGCTGGCGGAAGTAAATAAAGGAGCCCTGGGGCACACAAATAAATACTTCCCATATTTTCCTACATGTTCTGGGGAATCGACGATTACTTGTGTCTGTATGTTTTTCCCCCTCCTCAGGAAAACGAGGGAGGCTCCGCTGGCGGAAGCCTGCGGGAGCGAAGGACGCGCCCCCGAGAGATGACAGCACTTTGGGGCTCAGGGCTTCCACCTCCTCCACCTCCTCCTCCTCCTCCTCCTCCGACTCCTCCTCCTCCGCAGAACCCGCGTCCCCGAACCGATCGGTTTCAATATCGCCTTCCTCCCTCGACCGAGCGGCCGTGGACGAGGCCCTTGTGGGGCCTTGAAGTTCGCGAACAGATCGCTCCTAATCGTTGAGCAATCGTTTGCGAACATCCGAGCCGCGTCCCCAGTCGGTTTCAATATCGCCTTCCTCCCTCGACCGAGCGGCCGTGGACAAGGCCCTTGTGGGGCCTTGAAGTTCGCGAACTGATCGCTCCTTATCGTTGAACATCCGAGCACGAACATGATTCGTCACCCTTCCGAAGACAGTATAGACCACGCCTGGGAAAATCTGTCAACAGGGAAGGATCAAATACAATCCGCTCAAAATCAGTCCCCGGACCCCTCCCGGAGTTCATCTGGTGCTGTTTTTCACCCGCGGTCTGCTGCTGACGGCCCCAGGGCCCGAAGCCCCCGGAAAACGAAAAGAGCAGAAGACCTGATCGAACCCGGTGCCTCGAACCTCGCCCCTCCTTCCTCCCTGCTGGCGGGAACCAGTGCTGGGCCCCCCCATCCGGGACACACCGACCCGGGTCAATCCAGACCCCAGGTCCATCGGGCCTTCCAGGATCCTGCAAAGTCCTGCAGGATCCTGCGCCCAAGCCCCGGCCAGTGCAGCCCTGCATGGCTCTGCAGGGTCCTGCAAAATCCAGCGTTCTGACCAACGTTAGTCAGAGCGCCGGATTTTGC